GAAGCCATGATTGGGACATCTGAGGAAGAGACTGGTGTATCTCTCCCAAGCATCCCTGATAATCTCATCCTCATCCTGAGCAAAATGGGTAATTTGCTTATGCAGGTCAGCCATCTTGGATGGAGGATGGTAGCGGGTGAGGAACTTGTCCGCCAGGTTGGCGAACATGGTGATAGAGCCCGGAGGTCGAGTGTCTAGCCACTCCTTGGCCTGCCCCTCCAGGGTGAATGGGAAGTACCGCAGCTGGATGGCATCTGCTGTTTATCTTGATTCCATCAATCAGCTAGTGGAATCGCCTCAGATGCGATCGGGGGCACTCCCCCTCCTTACCACGGAACACCACTGAACCGCGCAGCATGGTGATTACTGAGGTGCTCACCTCGAAGTTGTTCGCTGGCACATGAGGGTGTTGAATAGGTGACCTCATGTCTGCGGCTCTGGCGGTCCAGTAGGATCCCATGGTCTGCTCCTCTGGAATGACCACATCATGGTCCTGTGGGTCAGCCATCTCCTCTTCGTCAGTGATCTGTAGCTGTGATAGTGCCTCCTCCGCAGCCAGTCGCGCCTTTAGAGCCCGCTTGAAGTTCCGGCAGGTCCGTTCAAGCTCCTGGTCTAATGGTAGTAGTTCTCCTGACTGGCTACGGGTCATGCACTACCTGCACACAACCAGCAAAAGCAACCCGTGAAGGCACACAGGTGGAAGAGAAAACAATGCAGTAAAGAAAAAGCTAGAGTAACAAATTTTCACGTTTCCCCAATAACCTAGAGGGTCCCCGACAACGGCGCCAAAAACTTGACACGCCAAAACACAACACCAAACTGCGACCAAGTGCAATCGCAGTCCGGGAATGCAGTAACAGGCAAGTTCTATTATCAACCCGGGGTCTAGATCTACTGCTTACTCCGTGATTATCTATTATCTAGCCAACTAGGTCGAGTGATTGTTGTTTAAAGTAAAAGCAGTAAAAAGCAGGAAATGGTTCGGTTTTCTCAAGCAAGGAAGAGTCACTCGGGAATGAGTCCCCCTAGCTCCTTAGTTAGGTTCAATTGTAATTACCCTGGGTTGATTTTCTGTTGATTAGACTGCGGAAGATCCGACAGTAGCTTGGAATCTCTTAAGCTGACCAAGCCCTCTCAGTCTAACTACCCGACAGACGACTAGTCTTCACCAGGATAGAAAGCTGAAGCAATGAGCACAGAACTCCACTACTGGAATTGGATTCCAGTACAAAGCAGTAAACTGGCTAACTCTCGTATAACCAATCTCCTACTATTGAATGAAGAAGCTCTAACAACCTAATCAGATTCTATCTATCTCAGGTTGCAGCAGAAATCAAGACAAGCTGATCAGACTTCAATCAATTCAATAAAACATGCATCATTCAATTAAAACCAAACAGTATAATCATCCCAAGTCATTACAATCAAATCCCTAACACATGGAACTAGGGTTCTTCATACCCAAGTGAGAGAAGGGTTCTACTCCATAGAGAGAGAGAAGAAAAGGATACAAAGCAGTCATACTCATAACAATGGGAAGAATCTGCTATGGGATGATGATTTCCACTCCTATGACGATCTCCAAGCTCGATTTGATGAAATCCAGCTCCAAGATATCTTCTAGGATGTGTTCTTCGCACTTTCTCTCTCAATGGCTCTGTTTTTGCTCTGAAAATTCGATTCTCTCACTTGTGGCCCGAAATTGGGTGAAAACCTGAAAATCCCGATCACACGGGCAGGCCACACGGCCGTGTGGCTCACCCAGTTGCCCGTGTGAGACACAAAACGCAGTGTCTCGATAAGTCGTACTTCAGGCTTCCCACACGGCCAGAGTCACACGGCCGTGTGGAAATTCTGCCCTGCCCGTGTTTGCTCTCGGCACAAACCACACGGCCACATTGCTCCTTCACACGGCTGTGTGGAAATTATTTGTGCCCGTGTGAAGGCTCGCACAATCCCACACGGCCACATTGGTCACTTGCACGGCCGTGTGGGTTTTGTGTGTGCCCGTGTGGCTTCCTTAGCGGCTTGCCTCGCGCCAGATCTTCTTCCAATCGACCCCGAACTCGCTCCTAAACCTTCATTCACTTACTAGGACCTGAAATATCACAAACAAGCACAACCTAGCGTGAAATCGGCCTAAAACACGAGAATCAACACCTCAAACGGTTCAAGAATAGGGGTGAAAACATGTGCAATTAGCGGTCTATCAATAAGGTCGACCTAAACCTAAAAATGCATATTAGGTCGACCTAATCCTATATAAGGTCGACCTAAAAGTGCAAGTTACGGTGACATGCATGTCACCGTAGCAAAGTCCAAATTTTGAACTTGTATGAAATGGTCACTCTATTTAATTTGTGACCTTTTTGTTCTAAGTACAAACTTTTGTTACCATATCTAAGTGCGAAAATATATGATCGTTTATGTTAATTACCCTATAAAAGATGCACAAATGATAAGAATGAGTAAAGTATCCATCAAACATATTGATGATTAAGATCTTATTTGACATTTTTCTCAGAGACTGATCTAGACGATCATATATGAAAGAGATATTATATGTATCTTCCGAAAAGATACATATTAGAATATTGTGAGCGAAGTTTGTTTTCAATAATGAACTTGATGAGAATTGTGGAACCAAAAAAATTTGCTAAATGATTATCTAACAGATTTATATATAACAGTACTACATTCCACAACACCATGTGAAAAGGTATTGGAGCTCGAAGACTCCAAACCAAGGTTGTTAACTCGCGGGTCGACCCGGATTAGCCCGGACCCGGCCAAAAAACGGGTCATACTAACCCTTTTTGCTGTCAGCTCGGAAATGGTCAAACCCGGTCAAACCCGGGTTGGCCCAGCCGGTTAGCCCATTGGAACGGGTCAACGGGTTGCTCTTTCTTAACCCCGTTTTGGCCGCTGCGGCGCCGTTTTTGCGTGGAATAAACGAGACGGTGCGCTGGGACAAGGCGAGAAGGAGGGTTCAGGGTTCACTTCTTCTTCTTCCTGCAACGAAACCCTAGGCCTAGAGACTCCATATTTGATTTCCCGCAGGCTGCAGCACAGCCGTGTCCCGCTCTCGCAACCGATCGCCATCGCCAGGGTTTTTTGGCGGCGCGCTCGTGATCGCCGGCGGAGGCTCAGCATCGATATTAGCCAATCCATAAGCCTGGTTGCAGCTGAACCACTGGCGGGGAAGCAATATATTATGTTCGGAGATATATGGGCATTGCTTAATCTACTCATAGGTAGCTAATTCAGTTTTGAGAACTTAATACTTAGTATCAGCCGGGTATATTCCGATGTGCTATCAATTTCCTTTGACTCTTCATATATCCATATTACAGGGCAACCTTGGTGTTAATGAGTTCGTGCTCAAACGGATATCTTGTTTCAATGAGAGTGGTAATGGTAGTTAGTAAGAAGATTGGTTCGTACTTGTCAGTTACTTTCCGAGTTTGATGCTTGGTATCGAAATGAAATGAAGATGAAGAAACTTCTTATAAAGTTGGGATATATATTGGCTCTTTTCATATTCTATAAACTTCTTATAGAATATATTGGCTCTTTTCATATTTCCGGGCTAAACCGAGCTAAAACGGTTGACCCATTGACTCATGACCAGGGCCGTCCCATGATATTCGGAGGCCCTGTTCGAAAATTTAAAATGTGGCCCTAAAGTTTTTCTCCACAAATTTATTAAAAATAAAATTTATTAAATAATTATAAAAAATACATAGTCTCAGAAAATGATTACAAAAGAAATAAATGATCACCTTTCTAGTTTGACGAAGAAACCAAAACCAAATTCCCAGGGCTGTCTAATGCTTCGTGGGGGCCTTGTTCCAAAATTGAGACGTGGTCTAAATTGACTTTTAACTATAATAAAACTAAAATGACTGTAATATCTTTCTACATAGCTTAAAATAAAATTAGGGTAATGTCTATTTTTTATCCAAACCTTTTTCAGATTCTTTTATATTATCCAAACCTATTAAAAATTTATTAATTAGCCAAATTTTTCATAATGCACCAAAATATTAGTCATTTTTACGTTATTGTTAATAATTCTGTAACTCTTTTCTTAGTTAAAATACTAAAATTTTGGAATCTTGACCTTCATGTGTCTCTTCCAAGTCAGTATCATGTTGTCAAGTCAATATTACTAACAAAAATGCTAACCGAAAGTTAACATTGGGCTAATTTTTAGTATTTCGATAGGTTTGGATATTATAAAAGAATCTGAAAAAGGTCTGGATAAAAAATAGACGTTACCCATAAAATTATCTATTATCTTTCTTATTTTCGTAGTCTTCATGATATCATTTTTAATTGTTATTATAGCTAAAATTATCTATTAAAATCGTCATCATACTCATAATCAATCAATCATATACTAAAAATATAATCTACAATGTACGATCGGTAACTAACGGATCTAAGTGGAGGCCCCTAATATTCGGAGGCCCTGTGCCGGAGGGCGGGCCAGCACACCCTCTAGGGCGGCCCTGCTCATGACCCACTAGCTCGTCCGGGTCCGGGTCCGGGTCGACCCGCGGTTTGACAACCTTGCTCCAAACTATTGGTGTCTCTCTCCATGAGGGGGACATTTTGTGCACTACATTCTTTTTTCTGTAACCAAGAGTCTTTCCTGCTGAGTTTTCTTAGTAAAATTTTAATGAAATAGTATACAAAAGCGTAACAAAAATCATGTCCTCTTTTTCCTTACCTAGATGTTTATCCCGCATTCAGCATTTCAAACAGGCCAGAAAGGATCAGAAATCCAGTAAAGGAGACGACATGTAACTCGTCAGAACCTAAACTCCAATTCGCCTGGGCCCGAGACCGAGAGCCCATCAAATCGGGATGGATGCGTTTCAATTTGTTGGGCCTGAAGCTAGTACAAACAGTACAGAGTGGGTCTGTGGACCAAACATCGTCGGTCGAAATATTACAGACAAAACAAAAAACAGTACTGGAAAATCAAACGAAGGGACTCAACTAAATTACCTGTCATAATCTCCAATGCTTCCATCCCTCAGCGTGAAATGGGGAAATCAAACTTTTCTACGAACAACAGTCAACAGCACAAAACTACCCAACTCTCTGTCTCAAATTCAGCAGCTACCAATCACTCATCGGAACAGCCGCTCCGGTCCAAAGAGCACTGGACTTTGATCGGCGACCATGGCCGGAGTCATCAACGTCTCCCAGTTTCCAATCCTCCGAACATTTTCCCGCCGCAGCAGTGTACCTGCCGGAATCAGGACCTCCATTCCGGCAACCAGGGCCTCCTCGTCGGAGATACCTCCGAGCTCTGGCGCCACGACGGCAGCCACTAGAGGAGAAGAACAAGAAGCAGCGCCCTCATTTGCTGCCCCAGCCGGTTTCAAGACGCCGGAGCCAAAGAGGTTTGCTATCCGACCAGACAAGGGTTTGGATGTTGCCGGAGCGGCTCTCGCCCTCTTTTTCCGCCTCGGCACTGGTGTCTTCCTCAATGGGTAATTGGTTTTTTTTTGGCTTTCGCTGTGGGGATTCTGCAATTTACTTCCCTGCTTCATCGTCAATTTCAATTGAGAAATCGCTTTTTTGTTTCCTTCCCTGATTGCTAATTGTGCTCTCTAGTGCCTCCTGAACTGCTAGGGTTTGACGAAAATGGGATTGTAATTCTAGTTCGGTGTTGATTTTTGTACCGTGGCAGCTACTCAGTGTCTTTCGTGTCCAAAGACGAGATTCCTGCTGATCAATATGCACTAGAACTAGCAGGTAGACATCAAAATCACCCTCCTTTCTCCACTCTGATATTCCATTCCTAGATATGATAGATTTTCGAAGATGGCCATAACAGGTTCTTGATCATAACCGTCTAGTTCAAAATTTTGGCCCTTGATTATATAGGTTACAAAGTGAAAGAGACCTCAAAGCTAGGACCTCGTCCGGAGCAGCCAATCATGATATATGAGTTTGAAAGGTATGGAAGTTCTAAGTCTTTTAATTTCTTTGTTTTATGATCAATTTCAGAAATGCATCTTAGAAAAGGAAAGAGGAAACAACACAATTCTACTGGCTTTTCTCTTAATTTCATTCTTTTATGAACTTATCAAGGTTATATAGTGAGGAATCGAGATACTGAATGCTTGTACTTCTTTTATCCATGTTCGAACGGTGGCAACCAACCTGCAAATCTTCAGCTGTCCTTTCTGTCGAAAGGTATTGTGGTTCTTAATACTGTATACCTTGTATTATCTTTGGAGATGTTTAGCTTCGTATATTCTCTAGTCTAGGTCCAGTAAGCAATGGGTCATTATATTATCCTTATGAATTTTATTAAGAGGAGGTGAGGTCTTAAGGGCATGAGAGATTTGGCTAATTGGTGGCTGTTGACCTTCTTTTGTACCTTTGCTGACTTATCTGCTCTCGGTGTTTTCTTTCCTTGTAATATCCATTTATCTATAAACCTGCTGATATGTTGGCTGATATATTTCCTTGTGTTAAGGTTAGGGAAATTGTTGCTGTCTTGGATCTTGATGTCCTATTTTACCCCTGCCCAAGGAATGGTCCCAATTTTCGCCCCAAGGCTGTTGAGTTAGGGGGCAAGCAGCAATTCCCCTACATGGTTTGATCTTAATCTCCTTGTTATTATTGCTTGTTGTCAAACTATAATTTAGAAGAATACAATCTCGCCTTCTTTTATCTTTTTTCACTATATGAACCTTGTTTGAAATGCAGGTTGATCCAAATACTGGAGTTTCAATGTACGAGTCAGATGCGATTATCAAGTATCTGGTTGATAAATATGGTAGGCTTTTGCCTGTAGGCTTAGAAGCTCTTGTCAAATTACTAAACTAGTCCAAATATGGAATTTGATGGTCATCCGTTTGTTAATGTTTCGATGTTGATTTTCCTTTCATCCTCTTAACTCATCTTAAACATAAACAAGGAATGAACTTTCCCATATTTTGCCAGATATCGATGTTTTTCTGTACTTCTATCACTGTGAGATATTTACCTGTTGCACTTGTTTATACTAGGTGATGGACGAGTTCCTCTGATGTTGTCGCTTGGTCTTCTAACGGTGAGTACTTTGCCTTTACATCTCCATCTTCTCTCATGAAGATTTGTATTTTCATTTGCATTGTCCTTATTGCCGGTTGCCTCTCTACTCTTATTTTTCGTGCAGACTTTGACTGCAGGCTTTGCTATGATTGGTCGTATGGGAAGGGTAATACTTGGCATATTTTCTTGATCATTTCAATAAAGAATCACCTGCTTGGCTTTCATCTCTTTGAAATGTTTATTTTGAAAATATTGATCATATGCTGCCTGTCTAAAAACTTCTCTTTGAGTTCAAGGGTTCTTCAACCACCATTTTCAATTCCATCTATACAGGGACAATCATATATTCCATCCAAATTGCCTCCGAAACCTCTAGAGTTATGGGCGTATGAGGTTTGTTCCAGTCACATACTTTTTATCTTGTGTTGAATGAACAGTGTTTGTGCCAAAGATTGTACAAGTAATGAATAGTCATTATACCTCTGTTTTTAGGGTTCTCCATTCTGTAAGCTTGTCCGTGAAGTTCTCGTAGAGTTGGAATTGCCACATATATATCGAAGGTAACAACCATAAATGATTCTCTTTCTTGTTTGGGGTACTTTGGAGATTCAGATATTTCCAATGAAAAAGTCAGCTTTGGAATGCACAGCTAATTTTGAAATGCCGTCAGTGTATTAACAATGTGGCCAGTTGGTAATCTTTGGCACTTGCACTGAAATGTCCCTCCTTTTCACTTCTGGCAGTTGTGCCCGTGGCAGCCCAAAACGGCAGATACTATATGCAAAAACTGGACATTTTCAGGTTTCTAATATCTCATGATCCATCTTCCTGCTACCTTCTTCCTTCTTCTTAGCCTGCTGAGAAATGTCCGTCTGAGTTTTTCTACGATGAATTGGTCTTACTGGATGTTATTCTTGACAGGCACCTTATCTTGAAGACCCTAACACAGGTGTACAGATGTTTGAGAGTGCAGAAATCATTGAGTATCTAACAGCGACTTATGCTGCATAAAACAACCAAACTTCCCCATGGGAATACCTTACTTTCCAGAGCAGCCTGCTTTGCTTCACCCCATCCTCCTGCTTTTACTATGTACAAATTCATATAGTTATTCACTAGAAAATGCATTGTTAAAAAATTGCTCTGTAGCCTTGCTTGCTGCAATAGAATGAAGGAAGAGGTTGATGTTCAGGACTATGCAAACTCCGTTGTACTATACTGAAGGTAGAAAGATTGTGATGGAGCATTGACATTGAATTCAAAACCGCAAAATGGCTGATAGGGAAGAAGTTTGGGGAGTGACTGCAGCCATAGTGATGACGACCAATTCTGAAACCACCACAAACGACCCCAAACAGGCAGACTAATAGAATGCTGATATTAAGTTGACCTGATCCCACCAAAGAGCAGTAACCCAAATATACATTTGCGGGTCTCGAATTTAAGGCTGCAGGCTTCGTGCAAGGGTTGCTGTTTGTCCATTTGCATGAAGAGTTTTGTCTTACCCTGTGTTCTTTAAGCGAGGAAAAGAAGGGGAGGGAAAAATGAGGAGGGAAAGTGGGAGGCTCTAGGCACTTTCCTCCGTTCCCGAAAATTTGTACAGTTGCAAGGAGAGGAAAAGGAAAAGAAAATACCACTGTTCAATCCATCCCTCCAAAATGGAGAGAAAGTGGGATAGAGCCTTGTTTCTCTCTCCTCTCTTCACTCTCCTCTTTTTTTCTTTCGTTTTGGGATAACAGCAACCCAAAAAAGCCCATGTTTCTCTACACCACGTTGGATGTATAATGGTAAGGCAAAAAAAAAGGAAATTTATGTCACATATAACATTAATTTACACAATACATACATTTCACGTATTTATGGCTAATTATGCAGTCATCTGATTTCATTTTTGTTACAAAAACTTTGCACGGTACCTATAATTATAGGTGAGTATGTGTAGTATGATTTGTTATATTTTATGTTTTTAGTTGCTATGTTGATGAATCAATAAAATAGCGAACAAAATTTTAACAATAGGTTAACACAAAATTTTCAAACCATCTATTTTTGTATGTTTAATTCATAACTAATGAAAATAATATTAACTTATAATTAAATTATTTTATTATTATATACTCAATAAAAACGATATCAGAGAGTGACATTTTTACAAAATGGATGTCATTTTGTACAGTAGAGCTAATCTCAATTTATATGGGAATATAAATGATTTGTTATATAGAATGAACGTCATCTTTTACTACAAAGATAATCAAATTTGTATGAAAAAATAAAATCGAGTTAAATGAACAATTTATGTTTTGTTAACAAATAATAAAATGATCATGGTTATGTAAAAATTGGTTATTTATAATAATCATTTTCGCATTTTTTCATATACTTACTAATACATAAATAACATATCTATCACACTTTCCTATATACTTTTCCCCTCCCACTATTCCTTACACTTTCCCCCATAAAACAACATTTTCTCTCCAATTCCCTTCCCCTCCTATTTTCCTTCACCTCCAAATTTTCCCTCCCCTCCCCTCCTTTTCCTCCCCTACTTCGGAAACAGGGGGTTAAGGATCCCGACTGTTTTGGCTAACTAGCAATCTGTAACCCATGTTTCATACGGGTAGCACGGCTGTTGAATGGTCTGATGACTCTGATCTGCCTACAAAAGTAAAAGGAGAAGAAGATAGATTTGTGTTGCCGAACAAACCCATTTCGGAAAGAGTAGTGCTGTGGTCCTCTCCATCCATAGTGCGGAGGTCAGGACAGGAGGGCATAATTCAAAGCTTACCCACATAATATGCGGAATCTGCTAATAATATACTATCGCGAACGTTCTGAAGCAGAGAAATAAAGAGTTGTCAAAACTGAAAACACAGGACGGTGCTCTATCATGGAGCTGCAATATTGGCCATTTTGTGTGGCAGTTAGTTCATAGGTCACAGGCAAAGGGGAGGAAGAGGAACTTCACTACATGTGTCTCAATTCTGCACAGCTCATTTCCCACCACCACTTTTGTGTTCTTCTGTCCTCAACATATGGGCTACTCATAGTGCTGTGTGATGCTGGGGGGAAATGGGTGATGATAAATACATGTAACTGAGCATATGATTCTCATTTATCTTCATTTTTCTGTTTTGTTTTTGTTTTGTTTTGCCTTTCTGCCCACCTTAATGTTCCGCTTTCGGTTTGTTGCAAGCTTAACCAGTAAAAGCCTACATCCTTCCTGATTCTTCTGCTGTGAGCCGACCACACCAACCTATCCTACATTATATTTTGATCCACCAATCATGAAGCCATTGCAATGGCCATCCCTGTCTATGAAGCACCTTTTTTATTGTTGTCTTGGTCATCTCTATACTTGTCCGCACATGACAGATGATAGAATTAAGGATTAGAATGAGGAAGAATAGAAGAATTGGAGAAGTATAAAATTAGGATTAGGTATTTAGAAAAAATTAAGGATTGCGAAAGAAGAGAAATTAAGAGAAGAGGGATAAAGGATAATATGGTTTCAATGATTGTTCTTACTTCCTTCCTTCAATTATCTCAATCAATCCTTAAATAGAGTCTGACAAATAAATAAATAATAATCCATTCGGGTCATAAGACCAATCCGCCCCTACCCGTCCAGCTAGGCCAGGTTTCTATCATTCCCCTCCTTTGCAGAATCGATAATGCCCTCAAAGTCGAACATAGGTTAGCTCCATCGAATTATGTCAGTATCCTCCCACATCGCATTCTCCGTCTCCATATGACGTCATCAGACCAAGCTCTCATCTCGTAGCTTGCCACCTTGCGTACTAGAGTTGTATTCCTCGAGGTCTTATAATGCACAACTACTCACACCAACAATCATGACATGCACGAATTGCCCAAACAAACACGAAGAGTAAAGGTTTTTAGGGTTTCTCGATTTATAGATGCTTAAAAGGGTTTCTCAATTTATAGATGCTTAAAAGTAAAGATACGTGATTGTAATAAATTGTGAACTCTAAGATGATCATGCAAACTAGGGCTCATTCACATCATGCATTGATGATTCATCTATGGTAATACCATATCCCTTCCTCTAAGCACACTCTCTACCCCTGCATACACCTCTTGAGATAGAGATTTAACTAGCTAACGTGTGTTTTCACTTCATGTCATTACCTAATTAATTATGGGCTTCTACGAACCATAACTATAGTATATTGTATCAATGATATAAAAAACAAGCATTTAGACTACTCGAAACATAGATGGGTGATCAATCCTCACATACTCGTGTAGCATCAATGGGGTATCCCTAAAAGGTAATTCTTGACAATCTAGGCAATACTAAACACAATTCATATAGTAGTATACAATAGAATCATAAGCATCAATGGTATTAAGAGCATTCATACTATGGAAATATCAATGATGATCATAAGCATCAAATACAATCGAGCATCAATGATCATCATAGGCATCAAAATTAATAGACAAACACTAGCATGCGATGAAATCATAACATTCATTCACATAACAATAAACAAGATCATATCCTAATACAATCAATTTTGACTAGCTTTATAGAGGAGAAGTAAGATACCACCATTTACGATGAAAACATCTCCTTAGCTACAGACCTCTCTACTTCGAATAGGCTAAGCACTCGTGCAGAGTGCTAAAGAGATTTGTGTCTTTTTGCATCCTTATTCTTACAATGGAGTTGTGCCCTCTATTTATTGGGAAGAATAAAGCCTAAAGTAACCGACTAAGAAAGAGTCTCCTAAACTTAGGAAAATTGTTCAAGAAGGAAAAGGGAAGGCGGGGGTATCACGGTGGTTGGACCCGCTGCTCTGGTTCTTCATGGGTTGGACTTCAATTCCTCACGATTTGTGCAACAACTTTGGGTGGTGGTGGTTGGACTCGTTGTTTGGCCACCACTCTTTATTACTTCAAAATTGGTTGGGTCTTCCTTTTGTGGGCTCTTCTTGGCATAATCTGATAACTTCTAGTTGATTTCTCCATCATTGGACCACTCCTTTCTCATGAACACTCCTTAAACTTCTCTTTGTAGCTCATTTGGTCCTCCAGAGTTCTTCAATGTTTGATCCAATCTATATTAGGTTGGTTTGTACCTTCAAAACCATAAAATATATACCAAGAAGTCATCAAATAGTAAAAGAACATTACCTAAGTCTATTAAAAGCTCATTAATCAAATAGTTGTGATTTGGACAAGAAATATCATTGAAATTACCAAAGATGGTTCAATAGAAGGAGAAAATGTATCAAATATGGGAAAATGCATAAATTTGTTATCAAATATGCTTCAATACCATACATGAGAAGTTATAAGATTAGCTTATGGAAGAAGCCACGCTCTTAAAGTGCGGGGTTATCCCCTTTGATCTATACTATTAAGGGTTCTTTTGAGCAGGAAAATGTCGAGTTCCTTCCCATGGATTGGACGACACAAGAAGGAAAAAGGAGACAATGATGCTTCTTCATCAGGAGGGTTGAGGCATCCTAGTACACCTATGGAAGATTCAGAGCCTGTAGCACTCTGACGGTCTTCACGACTCAATAGCAGGAATCCTTGAGGGAGATGAGTTCACACATCCTCTTCGTTAGGGGATCCTAGAGTAATAACGGAAGGCTATCTTTGGATAGCAGGAGATAATAAAGAAGCATGAGTGGACAACTACCATCAGAATATGAGGTGATGGAGATCGATAGTAGTTTGGAGATACGAGGGGATACACCAGAACCTCCCATGCATACCTTCCTCCAATTTCCCCATGAGAGTCCTGGTGCCATGAAGATAGCAAGATGGAAGAAAGTGTCTGTTTATCAGCAAGGAGAGCTAAACTGGCAAGACTTCGTCTAGTACTAAGGATGGGGAACACAATTGAGAGATATATAGAATGATGCTGATCTTCTGTCATTATTCAGCATTTGGGTTTAGGTAAACCCGCCCTATGGGTACCCGCTCACACCCATATAATTAATTTTTCCGGTAATATTTTAAACAACTAATGTACTATATATTTGTGGAGACATGTCTAATTTTTTTTCTTTTTAACTGTCTAGAATGAAGTTGATGTTGTCGAGTGGAGAGTGAAGAAAATTAATTGACAAGGAGGAAGAAGCTTTCAATTAATCATGTTGTTTACGGATAACTTGTGATTTGCTTCAATTTTCTTGAGTTTTCTAGATTGGTGTTGAACAATTTGTATGGTTAATTTGTGATTTGCTTGAATTTTCTAGAATGGTGTTTTATATATGGATAATTTGTATTGAGAGATTGATATTTGACTTTAATTTGATAGGAACTTGTTATTGTAAATTTTTTACGACAAAAACTCATGGGTACCCATGAACCCGCGGATACCCAGCGGGTTGGGTTTGAGTTTTTCAAACCAGTGGGTTTACCCCGTGTTTTTTTCATGGATAAACCCATGTGTTTGGATTTGACAAAACCCAACCCAACCCATTGCCATTCCTACTCCCACTGCACAATCGAAGGAACTCTTTGTCTTCATCTCTATTTCCCCAAGTCCTGAACTAAAGAAGAAGGAGAAGAAGACGAGTGATTGGACGCCTACCCAAAGATTGGCGATCGCTGACGAAAATTCTAATCCTTCCCTTCCCCTGCACAACCAGAGAAATCCAGCCTTCAACTCCGGTAGCTTACCATCGACGCCGGCTGGAGCAGCTTCGACAGAGACGAATCAACCTCTTCCCCACGCGAAGTAGGCTTGGCAACCCTGACCGACCCAGCGGGTATCCACCCGAAACCCGCCCGAATTATACCCTAAAAATCCGTCCGTTGTGGGTTATAGGCGGATTCGGATTTACCCGAAACCCGTGGGTCGCGGGCGATGGGTGGGGACGGTATTAGTGGTATCCGCCCCGCCCCCGCCCCGAATCATAAAACGACGTCGCTTAGACATCGTATATAAACCATAAAACGAGCCCAGCAAACCCTAATCTCTCATTTTCCACTCTCCGCCGTCCCAAACGACTGCTCCCATTCCTCTAATCCTCTCAACTTCCTCTTCGAGAACCTCCCGAAACCCTAGCTTCTTTCTCTCCATCGAATCTCCAAACATCTAATCCTCTCAAAAATCTCTCTGTTCCCCACGATTTCCTCCCAATCCAGCTTCTTTATACAATTATGATTGCCTACTGGCAATCATTATCTCTCAATTTGGCCAATTGGATGCTAGTTTTGCCGGCGATTTCGTCGGGAAACAGCATGCAGAGCCTGAAATTGCCCGCTGCAATCTTCGATTTGCAGCTATTGGGGGAAATCGACGTGATATCGCACATCAAGCGAGATAAGTTCCTTCTCCCCCTTTTCCTTTCATATTCTGCTGCAACTTTCTTGCCTTCTTCCTTCTTCTCGTATATAAATCAACCCCTCGATTAATTTCAGGTCACTGGTCAGCCTTCTTCCTTAAACCCATTACCTACACTCTGCTCAGAGCACAGTCGAGGTAAGCACAAACTTAACCCATTATTTTTCCAGATTCATGAGCTGTGTCTATCATTCGATGCATGCATGCTAATTTTCTTTTGTTTTTTTGGCTTTGTTTGGGAGTTGTTTAGCTTCGCATTCGAGGCATCAGCTGTGTCTATCATTCGAGGCATCAGCTCAGTGCTCACCATCTGCAGTCTGGTGAACAGAGTCTCCCTCAGTCCCTCTCCAGATTACAGGTAACTTCCAATCGAAGACTTTCCTTTTTTATTGGTCCAATTCAACTCTCGATTTAGTCGATTGTAATTTGTATTGTGTGTTGTGTGATTTGTCTGGGTAGTTTATAGTTTTGGTTGATTGATTGAATGCAATTATTTAATTGTTTATGTAGATGGATGGTGCTA